CCAGGCGCCCCAAGTCTTTTTTTTTTTTAATTATGTTTGATTTCTAAAATTCTTTTCTAGCATTTATTCGTTTTTGAGAGACTGAGACGGAGCGTGTGTAGGGGAGGGGTAGAGAGAGGGGGACACAGAATCGGAAACAGGCTTCAGGCTCTTAGCTGTCAGCACAGAGCCCAATGTCGGCCTTGAACTCACAAACCATGAGATCATGACCTGAGCTGAAGTCAGCTGCTTAACCAAATGAGCCACCCAGGTGCCCCAAATGTATTTGATTTCTAACTGTGAGAGGTCACTTCCTCTCAAAGCGTTTGTCATTATTTATTGCTCCCACTTAAGTTTAATATAGTGTCACACACTTTTTTCTAACCTTTGAAGATGAACTCATGTGCAAAACCATACAGTTGAAAAACATGTGGGCTACTTAGTACAAACATGGATTTATTTATTTACTTATTTTTTACTTATTTATTATTTAGTTTTGAGAGAGACAGAGTGTGAGCAGGGGAGGGGAAGAGAGAGAGGGAGATTCCCTCTGATCTGTCGGCACAGAGCCTGATGTGGGGCTCGAATCCACAAGCCATGAGATCGTGACCTGAGCCGAAGTTAGACACTTAACCAACTGAGCCAGCCAGGTGCTGCCATACAAAGATACTTAAAGCAGATGTCAGAAGAGTATCAAGAGTATCCTTGTATCTTGCCTCTGTACTTACTCTGTATTCCAAGTACATGCATGGCCACGTCTGTGACCTCCTTAGGTGGGCACCTAAGCACACACATCTCAATCATATCACTATTTCTTTGTCTTTATCCTCGTCCAGTTTCTCTTGTGCTATTTCCATTGTTACACCTCTCCATACAGTCTTTATGTACAGTGTTCCCTTTTAAGCAGGATGTTTTGACATCTTGATACCACGTGTGTCCTGTCTTTCTCCTGTCAGACTTACGAGGCAGCTTTTCCTTGGGCCAGTTTTTTTACTCATTGGTCTTGTTTCTGACCCATATTAATAATATCTTTGATGTTGGAAGGAAGAAGAAGGGTCTGATAGTAGCCCTTGTTGTATCTGAGGGAAACCATGCCTTCGTGGCTTGATGAGAACCAGGTGGGTACTGATTATCCTGAAGAAGGTGGAGAACACAGCTGAGATTTTGGTAGTAACGGAAAATACCAAATGCGTTCACATCCAAGTCTTGATGTGAGCCCTTGCTCCATCCCTCAAACCAAAGAACTGTCAGCAGCCCATAGCCACTTGTGATGCCATATCTAGCAACAAAGACAAGTCCTGTAAACCAGAGATGCCTTCAATGGCTAGAAGAATGCATTGTTAAAACAGCCCCAGCTGCCTCATTCTTTGCCCTTTGGTTCACATGCACTCTTCTTGCTTAACTGCTGGCCCTTAGGACACCTTTTATTCACTTATTTAAAGGGGGGGAAGCTGCTTTCCTTCCAGGTGGGATTCAGGTCTGTAAGTCCATGTAGATATAAATACCTAAGTCATCATAAAGACTTGGAGCTTGGAGTCTCTGGATGGGTTTCTGCCAAACAGGAGTATTCTTGAGTATTTTAGACTATTTAGACAGACTCCTCTTCTTGGGAATATACATCTTCTCAGCCTCTTGTTCCAAAACATCACTTTTATCTGCATGGAAAGTCTGTTGGAGTAAGTAAGCTATCCTCTTTCATTGATCTCTGCAGATATTTGGGGAATATACTTATACTTGTGGCTTCATTTCTTATTTGATGTTGTCCATCTCCAAATTCACTCTATGTAGCCGTCAATAAAAAGTTTGCTGAGCCTTCTTCTAAATTAGGCTGACAGGCATCTGACGCTGAAACTGATCTGCTAGTCACACACTGCACAGGTTTCACATTTCATCAACCACCTTCTTTTGTGCAGATCATTACTGAGTAGATGGGCACAGCACTTTCCACATGTTAGATGACTCATTCTTTTCCTTTAGAATCATTTCCAACGTACGGCTCTTCATCCTGTAATAACATTTGTCATCATCCTTCCATGTTCAGTGTTTTGGAGAAAAGAGCTCCACTTTCATTTTAATGGAAATCAGAAGTCTCCTTGTATTACCATTCTCAATTGCTTTGTTCTTATCAGGCAGGATGAGATTAATAATCTCTCTAAGATACCTCAGCATGAAGCCCAAGTCCACTGGAAGCTAAGGACAAATGACACCCTCCGATGATCAACACCATCTGTTGGTGGTTCACAGAGCTGAGGTGCTTTGACTCATTAGAATATAGCTTGGGAAACTTCCAGATTCGATAAGCATTCAAAACCACTTAGTGACAATGTTATTACCTGTTCTTTTCTCTCCTTCTTTGGTACAACTCTGATCTTTGAATGATGTCAGCTTTAATATTGTGGTATTTCAGTTGTGAATGTCTCTCTGCTGTCTCAAGGATGTGTCTGATTTGGGATACAGTTCTCTTCCGGTAAGAGTTGTGTGTGGGTGAGAAGTCGGGTTCCTAGTACTGGCCCTTTTCCCCCTGTCCTGTACGCTTCCCTCACAATTGGTACCTTCCTTGTTCCTACTTTACTTTTCTCTTTTATGAATCTCCACAAGCATCTTTTTTTATTGCTTATTTACCAGTACTCCTTGGGAATGGGCATTGTTTAATCCTTTTGCTTTTTTGTTCTAGTCATCTTATCAGTGTCATGAAGGCTCAATTACATGATCTGTCAAAATATTGTTTTATGAGACAATAATTATTATGTTTTGGTAAAATTTCTAGGTCATGGTAATAAGATCAATGGCCATAACATTTAATATTGAGCTCTTTGTTTCTCTTATCTGAGAATTGCTAACTAGTTTCTCAAGTATGGTCTTATTTCCCTTGCTACTATTTAGACTCATTTATTGAGTAATTACTGTGTCCTAGACACTAAACTAGGCACTAGGGATGAAGTAAATGAGATATTTTCCTGCTCTCTCGCTTTATAGTATAAGCTATTGTATTTCTACGTCCCTTTTACAATTCCAGTTTAAAAGTCTTTTGATCAGGTCAGTGGATTTCATTTATATCACATTCGTCTTTTTTTTTTTTAATGGTTTTTAAATTTATTTTTGAGAGAGAGGGAGAGTGCAAGTGGAGGAGGGGCAGAGCCAGAGAAGGACAGAGGATCTGAAGTGGGCTCTGTGCTGACAGCCGAGAGTCCAATGCAGGGCTTAAACTCATGAACCACAAGATCATGACCTGAGCCAAAGTCGGATGGTTAACCAGCTGAGCCACCGACGTGCCCCTACAGCACATTCTTCTTTTTTTTTTTTTAAGTTTATTTATATTGAGAGATGAGAGGAGGGAGGGACAGAGAGAAAAGGAGAGAGAGAGAGAGAGAGAGAGAGAGAGAGAGAGAGAGAGAATCCCAAGCAGGCTCTGCACTGCCAGCACAGAACCCAACATGGGTCTCAATCACACGAACCCCGAGATCATGACTTGAGCAGAAATCAGAAGTCAGATACTTAACCAACTGAGCCACCCAAGCATCCCTACAGCACATTCTTCTTGATGCCATGAGGTGGGTGCATTATTTTTCTTTCTAAGAGCTCTTTCTTCAGGTGTTAGAAACTGTGAACCCAGAGACAAACCTGCTCTTCTACATCCTCCCTATAGCTGACATTTTACTTCCTACCGCTCTGTTGAGTTACAGGTTTCAACTGGTGGGAGCAAGGAAAAATGTGTCCTGTGCCCTTGACTTCCAGTTTCTCACCAGCAGTTTCACCTTCTTGAGTTCAGTGGCTTGATACTGTTAGCATTCAGTTGGCTTATAACTTAGTCTTGTCATCATCCACTTAGCACGAGTGTCCAGCCCCGTACAAAACTTTAAGAAATATCAATCCAGTCCTAAAGACACTATTCCAAAAGCTTTATGTTAGAGAAAACGCACATTTTGTAAACAACACCTATCACCGATCTGTCTAGAAATCTTTCATTCATTTATTCCTCCTCTATTTATCAAGCACCTTCTGTGTGCAGTTACTATGTAAGTTCCTGCACATAGAGCTGTGGGCAAGACTGATGAAAGTTCCTGTATTAGCCTCCTGTTGCTGCTATAACAAATTATCACACACTTAATGGCCTAACACAACACAGATTTAATTTCTTACAGTTCTGGAGGTGAAAAGTCTAAAATGAGTCTGTAGGGTTAAAATCAAGGTGTCGGCAGGCCTGTATTCCTTCTGGGGGCTGAAGGAAGATCCATTCTTGCCTCTTCCAGCTTCTGGAATCCACCCACATTGCCTCTTGGCTCCTGGCTCTATGTTGCTCTGACCTCTATTTCCATGTCATGTCAGCTTCTCTGACTTGACCCTCCTGCATATTCCAGAATAGTCTTCCCATCTCAAGATCCTAACTTTACCCATCTGCAAAGTTCTCCTTTGCCATGTAAGATAACACATTTATGGGTTTCAGGATTAGGATGTAGACATCTGTGGGGTGCCACTGTTCTGCTCCCCATAGTTTCTGTCCTCTTGTTTATTTCCTAATGAAATAGTGCTATAGTGGCAGGTAATCTGAGTCTTTCAGGTTTACTTTTTCTAATGAACTGGCAACATTTCACATCTGTTTATCTGCATTCCAATTTAAAATATGTTAGATCAGGTCCTAAGATGAAAGCAGCTTTACCAGGCATATCAGTATATAATAAAAACCTAAGCAGTTTCGTTAATGTTGTAAGTGGTAGAAATCTACAGAAATATCACTGCCACAAAAATATCTTAATATTTTTTAAATGCCAACCTAAAAAATAATTAAAATGGACAGGAGCACAAATCTAGGAGACCCAGTAATTTCTGATCAGGAAAAGTCCATTTAGAAAAACTGCTTATTATCCAAAAGTAAACCAAATTAGGGGGTTTGGAGTGGGAAAGCAATCCACAGATGGGATCTAGTTTGTCTTTTTTTCATAGTTTTTTGTTCAGAAACACAGAGTAGCCAAGAAAATGTCTAACCACTAATTACTGTGGTGTAAATTTTATAAATAGTATAACATTAGAAATCCCCAAAACATGAATGGTCCTGTAGAACCAGTGATTTTTTTTTAAATATGTCTGACACATTATTAGAAAAACAAAAACAAAAACCATGAGTTCATGAAGGTATTCAAGAAATTGCTTACCATTTTCTTCCTGGATCTATTGTGTTGCTCACTATGGTTGCTAATAAGGCTGAGAATTTAAGGGTCTGAGTGTGTACAAAGTAGGAAAGGAGATGAGCTTCTAACACGCAGCATTTATATTCTGTGTTTTATAATGAGACATAGGGATAGTTCATCAAAATGTCTTCCACTTAACTTCACTAGCATCCAGGTAACCTTAAGTTTTCTTTTTTGTTTTCGTGTTATAGTGAAACAACAGTCAAATCAGAAGAAGTGGATGAAAATGGACAGCCTTTGCTGTTTCTCTCTGTACCTCACATTAAAATCAGGAACTTTGGGCAGCTGTCACGTTTTTTACTTATTGCCAAAGATACAAAGCTGAAGGAAGCACAGGCGTGTGTTGAAGGTGATATTTATACTCCAGTCTATGATTTGAACTTTTAGAAACATAACCTCGGTGGTGGTGGGGAGGGGATCATTTGTTACAGTCTCCTGGACAAAGTTCTGTAACCTAAAAGGTAAAAAAAATTCCTGTGTTCAACTTCATAAAAAAGTCATTATTTTTTCTTGGCTGAATGTTAATGCTCATATCAAATTTCTACTTTAAAATGAAAGGCCTTAATACTTTATTTACCACTAGAAACCTTCTTCTAATTTTCATGTGTGGTTTAAAGACAGGCTTCCTAGCTTCTGTAAAGACCAGAGGACTCTAGCCTTTGAGGTCCACACAGGAGAGAAGACGGATTTGAAGGGCCAGCACCGGAATCCACACTCTACTCTCAGTACTGCTGTGATGGATGATGATTTGTTTCCCTTAAAATGAATGTAGACTCTTCTTTTAGCAGAATTGGCTCATAATAATCTCACTGTCCATTGGTCTCAGCCCTACTCCATTGTGAGCTGCACGGCCTTGTGTGAATAGTTACATTCATTCGATGGGAAATATTTTTCCTCTCCATTACGGATGAAGATTTTCATCCTTGTCTAATCATCTAACATGCTAAAAGAATGCGATCAATTGCCTGCCATAATTGTACTCCAGATTTTTCTCATGAGTAGACAAATATCTAACAGTAGATAAAGATGCTGTATACATGGTTTGCTTCTTTGGAATCGTGTGACTAGAAGGTCCTAAGCATAAGGTGCCTGGGTTCTGCCTCTTGTCGTTCTTTGCTGTGTCTACTGCTGTGAGGTAGGAAGATGATCTTTTTTTTTAAAAAAAAAAATTTCTTTAAGATACGAACCTCAGGGCAGCAGCCTCCTTTTTATCTCTTGCCTACTCTCCATTAGGCTATCTATACATCAAACTACTCTGCTGAAGAGGAATAAAATCTTGAGAGTAAAGCTGAATTCAGGAAGGTCATTAATAGCATTAAATTCAACTTAATATATGAATATAATACATAGACTGGCTGCTATATATCTAGTTTGGCTACATATGAATCTTTTGCTGCATTTTGTCCTTTCCGTGGGAGTTCTAGATACAACCCTTAGTTTTGGGTCCAAATTCCATGGTGCACAGCAATTTGGGGATCAGGTTTGTGTCTTTCCGCAGAATTCATGTAGTACCTTTTTTTCATGAGTCTTTATGAAATGACCACCATACTGGTGATAAGTTGAGATGCTCAATCGGTGGATGATTCCTAGATCTCCTTCTCCTGCCCCTCCCCTGATGTCTTTTCTAAGAGGACCTAAGCCTTTTCTTCTATTTTCTGGTGCCCTAGTCCCCTTCCTATTGCAGAGTTCATGTGATCCCTGTGCTCTCTTCATTTCAATCAGGTCGAGCTTTCTGAACTAGTTCCGTGGGCCTTTCTCCCTTCCTGTCCAAATGCATCCATATTTCATCTTACTTGAATTCCTCCTTTCCAGATAAGGCTTTGCCACTTTCTTCCTTGTTTGCAACTACATGGTTCTTTGGCTTTTCCCAAATCCTGTTTTCAGCATCTCTAAGTTCGACTTTCACACCTGTGTCAGCCTTGATCGTGCATTGGTGTTTCAGGTTTTCACTGTAACTTTGGTATGTGCATAAGTACTGGCCAGTGTTTTTCCAACTCTAACATCAAAAGGCATTGAAAATATGAGCAGTTTGAACAGGTGGAGAAGACGGGCAGTGGATCGGTAGACTGAGAGAAACACACTCTCTTGGAAGGAAAGCATTTGTGAATGCACTGGTGCATGTGCACACACACACACACACACACACACACACACACACACACATAGACACACAGTTCTAGTGATGATTCTTCTAAGGAGACCAGTATTTCCCTGTCTTCAAATCAATTCTGAGTATATTAATTGAATGCCCATGCTGGACAATGCCCCACAGTCAACAAAAAAAAGAAAAGAAGGTCTTGGTCTTTGTCTTATTAGAGAGGTGACGTAACTAATGATGTTACAATACAAGGCAGGACATCCCAACGAGTGCAAGAGAGTTCCTACTATAGTAGAATCTGAGAAGTAGAGATCAATTCAAATGGAGTCCATCAGAGAAAGCTTAATGAAAGAAACACATTTGGGTGGGCTTCAAAGGATTTGTTAGTCTATGTTTCTTGTAACAAGACAAGAGGATCATTTTTGTTTATTTTTTGGTCAGCTAACAGAGATCCTGTAGCAAAAATCCTGGGTTTAGATTATAATACAATGAAAGAAGACACATCCACGGTAAACATTCTTGATAAAGTTACCAAAGGTGAAGATTCTGAAAATGAGATTAAGATGAAGATCGCCAGGCTGCTCAGCCAACTGGATCTGCACCTCCTGAACCATTCTCTAAAACATATTTCACTGTGAGTCTTTTAAAAAAAAAAGAAACCTCTAAAAATTAGTTACAAAAAGTGCTTTCGGAGGTTTTTCATAAACACACAAAAAATATAGACGTTATTGCCATTGATTTTGTGTGAAATTTTATTGGATTAAGATTGTAGTTTATCGCATGAATATTTCTAAAACTAAAAATTAAAAGTTTGCAGTCAGCATTGCTAAAGTCTTCTGTGGGGTTTCGCCTAATTCTGAGGACATGAAGCGACCTTATTATTTTCAGTCTCTTCAGGCTGTTAGGTAAATTATTGAATGATAATGCAAATATCATGTAGAGTTTGTAAGATTAAAAACTTGTTCATTTTTCTAGTTTTTTTCCTGGTATAGTGTTATCACTAAGAAACGAAGTGAATATTTAAATGAGTACATTTAATGCTGCATTAAACGTGAGTCACTGATTCTCTGATGTTTTGACAGTGTTGTCAGATTACAACATGGCTAAATTAACTGCAGTATTTTTGTTGTTGTGTAATTTAACCACAATTTAACTATAAAAAACAATATTCCCCCCCCCCCCGCTAAAATGGAATGTTTTCATGTGCTTTCTGCAGGTTCTCTTTTAAAGTGTCAAAATGAATTTCTTACCATTTATTTCAGAGAAATAAGTTTAAATCCCACAAGTGTTAAGAACGATATAGAAATGCTGAAAAATTTCTCAGGAAAAGGAGAACAAACTGTCTTGGAATCTATCAGCTATACCTCAGGTTTATATTATTCTCAGTTTCATTTTGTGTTAAATATAATTATTTCCAAATGCTTCAATCGTGACCTTAGGATTGAATATTTGAAAAGATGAAAACTTAAAACTTTAATCATATTTATTTTTTTAAAGCCAACATATTTTTAGGAGCTCCTTTTAATTGACTGAAATTTATTAATTGGTTTCAGATTATGAATTTTCAAATGGATGTAGAGCCCCACCTTGGAGACAAATTCATGGAGAAATTTGTTATGTGCTGGTGAAACCACACGATGTTGAAACTCTGTGCATTACTTGTAGTGCAGAAGGAGTATTTTTAAATGGTGTAAGTAATTTTTTAAGAACTCTGTTGGTTTTGGTGCTTAGCTCAGTCTCTGTAAACGCAGGCATGTGTCCAGGATTGAATCCTGATGACCACAGAAAATGCGATACTGCTCTGTGGGATTGAAGCAGATCCCCCTGCTGTGAGTTTGCCAGGCAAATCCAGAACTGCCTCAGAATTAGCCCCAGTGTTCCCCATTGCAGATCATTAAGTCAATCTCCTACGAAATGATCTCCAAAGGGGCCCGTGCCACTTTATACAACAAAAACCTCCTTAATCAGTTCCCTGATTAATTATACAAGTATTAGGGAAAAGAAGAGGCACAAGAGGAGCAAGGAAGTAACACAGAAGCAATAACTACAGCTTTTACCCTAAGAGTTGAGAGGACAAAGGGAAGGGAGGCGCTAAAATGTGGGAGCTTGGAGGAAGTACTCCATGAAGCTGGGACCTACATGTCTGGTGAGGGGCCAACTGCTGGGCTGGGCTGGTGGCTTACGATCTCAGAAGATGGACCTTCCAGAGCTGAGATTTAGACCTGTGAAGAGTGGACCCCGCTTACATTGGCAATGGTGTGTTAGGAGTTCAGAAGGGGGACCGCACAGAACTGGAACCCGCAACTCTGAGGACTGGTCAGTTCCAGGAGAAGCTGGCCCCCTCTGAGCTCAGGTGGTCTCCCTGAAACTGGCATCCAGACCTCTGAGGAGTGCATTGCCCAGTTAGTGTTAGTACCTTGGGAACTCAGCAGAGGATGTTTGCAGAACTGGCAGAGCTGAGACCCAGACCTTTGGAGATGGAACCCTGGTCGGTTTATAATGGTATTTCTGAGGGGTCGTAATGAGCCTGGTTCCGAGAGTACAGGGGAAAACCCTGGGAACTAGAACTAATTGTTCCTACTGGGAGCGACTGCTGCTGCCAGGGGTGAAGGGCCGTTGCTGGGGTAACTCTAACAGGGACAACAGACGAGGAAGAGGGAGTATGTCCCTTCCTCCCTCCAGCTTGTCAGTGTTCCTTTCACTTCCTGCTGACTGATGCTGACCTAAGCTGGCAAAGGAAAAACACAGTGTTGCAGATCCCAAAGCCCTGAGCATCACTAAGCAGAGAGATGGCCTTCCAAAGCCTCTAGATTAAAAAACGTTTAGTCTTCTACCTGTTCACTGAGGTCAACTTTCTCCTTTGCGGTGTAATTTGGGGCCTCACAGGCAAAGTCTGCAGGGAGAACCCAAATCTGTAACGGGGACCCAGCCGTCAGAGGAGACTGTTTGGAGATTTGCTACTTCTTGGTTTGGATTGGTGTCAACGTTTCGGTGCCGCTTTCTTGATTACCGGCAGGCATCTGTCCTGATGTGCCTTGTTCGTGCTTTTTTTCTCAGCATGATGCTTAGCTTATGTCTGCACAGAGGAGGGAGACAGCCTAAACATGATTGTACTTTTGGTTCGTCTTGATACTTTAAGTGAAATTTCCAATTAGACAATAAGAGGTAACAAAAGGAATGATTTTCTTTGACTTTCTAGAGTGGGGCAAGGAGACTTGGTTTCTAGCAAAGGCTGTTGACCTACATACAACTTTATTTGATATGGAAATCTAAGTATTCCTGTCTATTAAAAAAATGAAAGATAAGGAACATGCAACTATTCAGTAATTACAGAAAAATGCATAACACACTAGAGTTATATGTATATGCATGATGTTTATGGATGTATAACACACTACAGTTTTTTATGTATACATTTGGTTAAGGGAGAACCAAATCTTTTCTATTAGGGTAGGCAAAAAAGGGAAATGATCAAAGGAAAGACAAAAAGAAAGAGGTACAGAGACAAAGAGTGGAGGGATGGACTGATACATAGAGATTAGAATTCTAGAAAAATATAAGCCTATAGCAACCGTGTCACACAGAACAAGAGCAAGGGTGTGACAAATAGAAACAAGCTTTTCTGTGCTGACATTCTAATCTTGGGGCCTTTTATGACTTCGCCAGACGCTCTTGAAGTCATACTGCTTTTTTACATTTGAGAGGTACAGAGGGAAAGAAACTTTGATTCTTTGCTGACCAGCAGAGTGCCCTACATGCATATAGGAGGTAGTCAGTAAAAGCATGCTGAATGAATGAATGAATGACTGAATGGATGGATAACTTTAAGAGAAAGATTTTGCCTATATTTCTTATGTATAAAGACTACCACATGGGTCCTTTAGAGAGGAAAACGATATGTGGGCTTGGGTTGTGATGTATTGATCAGGCTCAGTTGCTATTACGTTAATAACAGCATCAAACTTTTTCTCCCAAAGGGCAAAACAGACAATGAGGGGGAAATTAATTATGAGAGAAAAGGTGAAATTTATAAAGACCTTGTCACATTTTTAAAAGAAAAATCAGAAAAATTTTCAGAAAATATGTCTAAACAGGTAAGTTTTAGACTTAAAATTTCATAGCATAGTGTTACTTGACTCAACTTTCTAATGAGAGTGATTCTGCCTATATTTGGACTTTGCTTCTATTTTCAGTGTTTTTCACAGTATAACATAAAATACGAAATAAGTGTAGTACTTTGAGAAAGTTTCTGATTCAGGTAATAGGTGTAAAATATTTCAGATTGCTTTCTAAATAGCACTCTTCATCTTCCCTTTTGAATTAATAACACTAAGAACAAAGGAGTCAGCCCTGTTAACGAAGCCTAGATGATTTGATTATTTTTATCCTTTCTCAACATCCCATGATTACTACCGAATTGCATTGCCTTAATAAGTGTCACCTGCATATGCATAAGACCTGTGCTTCCTTTGTGTCTTTCGTGGTTTTTGAAATAGTGTTGCACAAAGAAATCAGTTAATAGAGTTATTTCATGAAGTAAAATCTTGATTGAAGCTGATGTAGGCAAGAAACAATATGCAAGAAATACTAATGAAACACACTTAAACTCCAGGCTGATTCCCAAGAGGTCAATTCCACAAATCCCACAAGAGATAACTTATCGGGCCCATTGTTTCCCTTCTGACCCTGCCACTTCCGGAGGACTGTTTTCTTACTGCACTGCTGCTACTCTTGTCCCGAAACTTCTCTTTGTCATCATCCTGCGAAGGCTTTTTATTGCCTGGTGTTTGAGCACCTGTTTTCCTGGACTCCAGTTTTTCCTTTGTTGTTATTGTCGTAAAATAACTATACAAAGCATAAAATTTGCCATTTTCACCACTTGAGTGGTATCACTGAGTGGTGTTAATTACATTCCTAATGTGCAACCATTACCACTGTCTACTTCCAAATCTTTTTCATCATCTCAGACTAAAACTCTGTTCCCTTTATGTAGTAACTTCCCCTTTTGCCTCCCCCAGCTCCTAGTAACCTCTCTACTTTCTGTCCCTAGACATTTGCCTTTTCTAGATATTTCAGATAAATGGAATCACACAATATTTGTCTTTTGGTATTTGGCTTATTTCATTCAGCATAATGTTTTCAAGGTCCATCCATGCTGTAGCCTTTGCCAGAACTTCATTCCTTTCTATGACCGAATAATACTCCATTTGTATATTCCACAATTTATTCATTCATTCATCTGTTGATGGACACTTGGATTGTTTCCACTTTTTTGACTATTGTGAACAATGCTGTAAATACTGGTGTGCAAGTATCTGAGTCCCTATTTCAGTTTTGGAGAGTATATACCTAGGAGTGAGATTTCTGGGTCATATGGTAATTCTATGTCTTAACTTTTAGAGGAACTGCCAAACTGTTTCCACCTAGACTGAACCATTTTATGTTTTTACCTGCATTGTACAAGGATTCTGGTTTCTCCACATTCTCACCAATACTTACTATTTTCTGTGTGTGGGTTTGTATGTGCATTTATTGTAGACAACCTAATTATGAAGTGTGGTATTTCATTGTGGTTTTGATTTGCATTTCCCTAGTGATGAGTGATGTTGAGCATATTTTCATGTAATTATTGGCCATTTGTGTATTTTTTTTTTTAAGAAATGTCTATTCAGTTCCTTTGTCCATTAGAAAAATGTTTTGTTGGTGAGTTGTAGGAATTCATTATATATTGTGGATATTAACCCCTTATCAGATCTAATATTTGCAAATATTTTCCCCCATTCTGTGGACTGTCTTTTCATTCATCTTGACAGTATCCTTTGATACACAAACATTTTTAATTTTGATCAAGTCCAACGAATACATTTTTGTTGCCTGTATTTTTGGTATTGTACTTAGGAAACCATTGCTACATTCAAGGTCATGAAGATAGATATGCCCCTCTTTCCTTCTAGGAATTTCATGGTTTTAGCTTTTATTTATTTATTTATTTATTTATTATTTAAAAAAAATTTTTTTTAACGTTTATTTATTTTTGAGACAGCGAGAGACAGAGCTTGGATGGGGGGGGGGAAGGGTCAGAGAGAGAGAGGGAGACCACGGAGTCTGAAACAGGCTCCAGGCTCTGAGCTGTTCAACACAAAATTAGCGATGGAGACTCGAACCCCGTGGAGATCATGAAACCAACTGAGCCACCCAGGCGCCCCATGGTTTTAGCTTTTAAATTTAGGTCTTTCATTCATTTTGAGTAAAGTTTTATATATGGTGTAAGTAAGATAAGGATGTAATTTTATTCTTTTGCGTTGGGAATCCTAGCATTATCTGAGGAAGAGATTGTTCTTTCCCCCATTGAATGGGCTTGGTATCCTTTTGAAGATCAATTTACCATAGATGTAGGCGTTTATTTTTGGATTCTCAATTCTATTCTATCTTGTTTATCCTTATACAAGTCCTACACTCTTTTGATTACTATATCTTTGTAGTAGTTTTGAAATTGAGAAGTAATGAGTCCTCAAACTTTGTTCTTGCTTTTCAAGACTATTTTAGCTGTTTGGGCTCCCTTGACTTTTTATCTGAATTTTAGGTTTGGTTTTACCATTTCTGCAAAAAAAAAAAAAAAATAGCATTGGGATTTTGAAGGGATTGTATTGAATTTATAGATTGCTTTGTATAGCATTGTCATCTTAATATTAATTCTTCCAATCAATGGACACGGGGTGTTTTTCCATTTGTTTTTATCTCCTTTAATTTTTTTTCAGTGGTGTTTTATGTTTTTCAGGGTCAAGTCTTTGTCTTCTTTGTTAAATTTATTTGTGAGCATTTTATTCTTTCCTGATACTATTATAAATGATATTGTTTCCTTAATTTCCTTTTTGATTGTTCCCTGCTACTATAGAGAAATAGAACTGATTTTTTTCATAGAATGTGCAGGCGTGTGCACAGGGTGGAGAGGGGCAGAGGGAGAGAGAAAATCTTAGGCAGGCTGCATGCCCAGCGTGGAGCATGATGCAGGGTTGATCTCACAACTGTGAGATCATAACCTGAGCCAAAATCGAGAGTTGGATGCTTAACCGACTGAGCCATCCAGATACCCCACTAGAACTGATTTTTAAGGGTTGAAATCAGTTCTGACTTTTGAATATGAATTTCAAAATCAAATCCTACAACTTTACTGAATTCATTTATTAATTCTGTTTTTAAAAAAATTTTTTTAACGTTTATTTATTATTGAGAGAGAGAGAGAGCATAAACAGGGGAGGGGCAGAGAGAGGGGGAGACTCCAGGCTCCGAGCTGTCAGCACAGGGCCCTATGCGGGGCTCGAACTCACAAACTGCAAGATCATGACCTGAGCTGAAATCGGTCGCTCAACCAACTGAGCCACCCAGGCGCCCCCATTAATTCAGTTTAAAAAAAAAATCTTTTGGTCTTTGTACATATATGATCATGTCATCTGCAGAGAGAGTTTTACTTCTTCCTTTTCAATTTGGATGTAATTTCTTTTTCTTGCCTCATTACTATAGCTAGACCTTTTAGGACTGTGTTGAATAGAAGCAGTGAAAGGTACCTCCTTGCCTTATTCCCGGTATTAGGGGAAAGGCTTTTAGGCTTTTAGGCTTTGCCATTGAATGTGATGTTAGCTGTGAGCTTTTCATAGATGGCCTTTATTGTGTTGAAGAAGTTCCCTTCCATTTAGTTTTCCTTTTGTTGGTGTACCCCATCATTTTGGTGGAGCTTCCTAAGCAAAACAGGCACATTAGAGGGAAAAAATTGAGGGTTAGTGTGTGAAAATATCTTTATTTTTCTGTCCGTTATTGTTTCTGTAATGATAGTTCAAAAATAATTTTTACTTAGAATTTTTAAGGCAATTTTTCCTATGTGGCCTGTTTTGGCCTTTCCCATCTATCAAAGCCTTTAGGATCTTTTCTTATTCCTGATGTTCTATAATTTTCATGATGATATGGTTGGTGCTGATGTTTGTTTTTCATTAATGGTGACATATGTCCTTCAGAACTAGAAAAATACTTTTTTCATATCACATCTTTAATCATTCCTTCCTCTCTTTCTCTTTGCTCTCTTTTTGAAACTTACCAGTTGTTTGTTGGGACTCTGAGATCCTCTGATTTTATTTTCAGTCACCCACTTTCTGTAAATATACTTTTGCTTTATCTTCAAGACGTTGTGCATGTCTTTACAATTTAAACTCTCATATTTAACATTTCGTTTTCAGGCGCTTATCTGTACTGATCATATGCTTTCATTTCTCTTGGAAAATGTGGGAATAAAACAGCAAGATCAAACGGTAGTTGTGTGTTTAACTTTTTAAACAATTTGTAAACTGCGTTCCAAAGTGGTTGTAATATTTTACATACACACCAATAGTGTATGGAGAGTTCCAGCTCTTCTGCTTATTCGTCAATAATTGGTCACGGGCACCTGGATGGCTCACTTGGTTAAATGTCCAAGTCTTGATTTCAGCTCAGGTTGCTCTCAAGGTCATGAGAGGGAGCCCTGTGTCAGGCTCTCTAAAAAAAGAGAGATTCTCTCTCTCCTTCTGCCCCACCCTGGCTCACATGTGTCCTCTGTCTCTCTCTCTCTCTCTTTTTCTCAAAAAAAAAAAAAAAAAAATAGGTATGGTCAAACCTCTAATTTTAGACATTCTAATAGGTGCGTGTACTGGTATCTCCCTGAGTTTTCATTTCCGTTTCTTGAATGCATTCTTTCATATGCTTATTTGCCATTCATCTATCTATCATATGTGATGAAGTGTCTATTCATATTTTTTTGCCCAGTTTTTTATTGGGTTGTTTGATTTCTTACTCAGTTGTGAGAGATCTTTATATATATTCTTGGCTTGCATATTCTATCAGATATATGACTTGTAAATATTTCCTCCGGGTCCATGGCTTATTTCATTCTCCAACCATTGCTTCTAAAGAGCAAATGTCCTTGGGGCGCCTGGGTGGCTCAGTCGGTTAAGCGTCCGACTTCAGCCAGGTCACGATCTCGCGGTCCGTGAGTTCGAGCCCCGCGTCAGGCTCTGGGCTGATGGCTCGGAGCCTGGAGCCTGTTTCCGATTCTGTGTCTCCCTCTCTC